ACTGCTAACATTCCTTTCTTGAATAGTGGTCTCACTAGCAATTATGCCACATTTTCTTATTTTTACATAAGCCTTCAATCCATGAAAGGCCAACTTAGTCTGCTTTAGCTGAACTTACGTTTCTTAAAAAAAAAAATTCTAAATTTATATACTGACAATTTAAGAAATGTTTGTCATAGATATCTGTTCGTGACAGAAGTATCAAAATATTTTAGCTATGAAGATGTGTAAACCGTTAAATAAACCTTATTTCTTTGGGCAATACCTACGGGAATTAAAATCATTACTTTAATACAATAAAAACCATTATCAGAAAATCGGTATAAAAGTGTTTGCAATTATTAAAATGAAGTAAAAGAAATGTATATATATATATATATATATATATATATGACTCGGAGGTGCAATGGGGATCATGAAGTTTGATGGTCAAGCGTGAAGTGCGCTGGTCTGCGCCGAAGTATCTCTTCGACAAAATACTGCCTTGAATTTCAATTTTGATATTAATATAAAGAAGCCACAATCTGGTTCCTAAATGGTTATTTTTTTAAAAACCCTAAAGCTAGGTAAAGCCTTTCTCTTGATATAGGCTCTTAAATTCAGCAACTTTTAGAGACCGACCGTGCGAGGGCTGTATAGCCAGTCAAGGTCGTTAAAACTTCCATCATCCTTTTAGAGATTTTTTTGAAAATACGATGGTTTGCCTTTTTCGGAACTAAAACGTGATCAAATAGCACTGGTGGCCTTCGGCTGTTATCTGCTCTTTTCGGGTTTTTGTATCTTTGACATATTCCCCATTTCCATTCTCAATTTTAAATAAACTAAAAAAATGATAAACACATATATTCTTGTTGTCAGATCAAAATACATCTAACAAGCCAGTGCGTTGATACAGGTTATATTCTTCTGAATTTACTATATCGATAATTTTACATTCGTTACTATTACGTAATATATATATAAGTCCTGTGTCCAGGTGAGAAATAACAACATGTGGTTTGTATGTCAGGTAAAAAGTGACAACGGATGGTATGTATACTAAAATGTTTATCGTCTTCCATTATACATAAGGGTGTGGATGGGGGTTTACAGAAAAGAAAATTATTGACAAAAAAATAAAGAATACAGAAAATAACCAGACAAATAAATAGAAAAGAGTATGATGAGGTACTAGAATATAGTGAATAAAGAATGATCGGCAAAAGGTATAACGAATAGAAAAAAATGCCTAAAATGATAGAATCCCCATTCAGACCCTCGATCATTATCTGACGATGACATTTAGCTTTAGGGCAAATATGATACAGCTTTAAACCCAAAGTGATTTTTTACGAAAGTTCACATACAAGCTACTTTTTACAAAATCAATTTGAATATGTAATAAAAATTATATTTGCATGTGCTAAATTTAAAAGATAAATGGGTTTGAATTTATCGACATTTACTTAAAAATTTCGATTTCTTGGACATTTCTGTCCTTTGAACAGACATCCTTAACTTTTTTGTTTCAAAAGATAAACATACTCGGATTTCGGTAAAGAGATTAGGAATATCTTCGTTACAAAATTGGGTTCTACATTTGTGTACTTACAATTCTTTGTTAATAATTAATTTTTGTTTAAAGAAATTGATTTTAGAAAAAAAAAACCGGCATTTTTGTTGTATATTTATCTAGTTGAAAAAAGAGGCGGTTATTTCTTCATAAAATTTGGAACGAATAATCTTCATACAGTATCAAGCCAATGAAATGTCATTTTTAAAAAGAGGGGTGCATGTGCTCGTTTTTAAGCTACATTTGTAATGGTTAAATCTCGAAATAATGCATCTTTTCCCGATATTTCACAGTTTGACGTCGCGAAAAATAACATTTTACGGCATCAATTAATGTGTTGATAAAGAGAACGAATTCTACAATTATATAAAATTCTGTAAAAAAATCATTGTATAGGTAAATATTATTAAGGTGTTCCGAAAGAGTGATTAGACTGATAACAACATACTAATTCAATGTCATGCAATTAGGTTTAAATGCTAAAAGTTTTAGAAGAAAGAGTTTAATGTCTGCTTATTTAGATTAATTCTGCGAATTGTTTTTGTCTGCAAAAACATCATAGAGAGAGATAAAGAGAATGACAACCAATTGAATAAAATGGAGAATGGAAATGGAGAATGTGTCAAAGAGACAACATTTCGACCAAAGAGCAGAAAAGGGTGCGTCTAAACACGACTAAGGACTGCTTAGTGCACTAAGGACTTATGATATACCACTAAGGACTAAAAGGGGTGCTATACCATGTAAACAAATTTCATATCATAGTAGAGATTGATATTTAATGCATGAATTCAAATTTAATCAATAAAAAAATCGCAAATGATAATTGAACAAATTGAATGTTCATTTCTGGGCCTTATATAGCTGACTATGCGGTATGGGTTTTGCACATTGTTGAAGGCCGTACGGTGACCTAATTTCTGTGTCATTTGGTCTCTTGTGCAGAGTTGTCTCAATGGCAATTATACCACATCTTCTTTTTTATATTAGGCACGTGCCGGTTTTTCTTTGATTTTACCGAAAATCACTGAACCATAAGACACGTGTCAAATTACATAACTGATTACACGATTACCTTAAAAAAATGAAAAATAATTATTTGCATAAGAAACTAAGCCAGACATTAGATATGTTTACCATAAAAATATTTTTTTAATTTGTTAAAAATAATTTAATATTCATCGGTTAATAATTAAATGAAAAAATATAGAAAATTGTTAAGTGTTTTTTTAGGAAGGAAAAAATGTGTGTCCCGAGAAAAATAGCCCATCCCCCTATGAATGATCATAACCTAAGTGGGGGCTTAAATTTGGAGACCGATCGCGAGGCCTTAGTGCTATAAACAACAGATGGCGAACAGCAAACAGTGGATACAACATTTCATATTCATATTTCACTGAATAATTTCAACTACCACATGATAACCTATGAATTTATTTACATACTTGAACTTGTAAAAGGAATATAAACAAATTCAGTATGTTTACTGTACAAACAAACAACAGACACCAAGTGATGGATATAATTGTGGCTTATATTGTTAAATTCATTTTTACTGAGAGTAAAATTTGATTGATTGATTATTGGTTGCTTAAACGTCCAGTGGCAAAAATTTCATGCATATTCAGGACGAGAAGTTGTTTCAGAAGTATATTAAGAAGTATTAGGTATCACAAATGTTACAATTTTCTCATTATTTGGTAAATGTTATTTTCTTAGATATTTTTAATTAATTTGTACGAATCATATTTTTCTGACAAAATTATATCTTTTGCTCTAAATTAACACATACGATTCTGGTAATATAAGGAACATTTTAACTCAAGTAAAAAAAAATTATTATGATTGTTTAATCAGTTGTTATGTAAGTTCGCTCGTGTCAATCGGATCACTGATTTTCGGCAATATCAAGGAAAAACCGGCACGTTCCAAATATTGTTCAACTACTCATTTATTGGTGGTTCTTTTTCCATAAAAATTGGAATTTATGTATAAAAGTCTATCTCTACCATAAAATGAAAACAGTATACAAGTAACACCACCCCTTCTAGTCCTCAGTGGCATATTATAAGTCCTTAGTGCACTAAAGAGCCCTTAGCAGTGTTTAGACGTACCGGCAGAAAACAGCCGAAGGCCACCAATAGGTAAAAAAGGGGGGTTGGTCCTGGGGGTTGGAACACCCTTTTTTTACGTTTAATGCTTTTGAATGGGGACATATGGTTTGAAACACCCCTTTTATCCTGGGTTGAGAACCCTCTTTTTAAAAATGGCTGGAATCGCCACTCTTTAAAATGTAGCAATTTATAAATATTTTTTTTTATCTTATTTTAATATTAAGTAGAATTATAAAAATCGATGAGTTTTATAATTTGACAAAACTCATTGATATTGGGTATACACTAAACGATATACGACAAATAATTTTTTCAAGACATGGAATGTTTAGTAAAATTGTCGACCAATCAACACGGAAAGCGAGATATCTAAAATTTGTATACCCTTATATATTTTCATTATCATACATCAATTTTAAATGCAATTCCAAATAAAATGGCTTTGAAAATCGTGTATAAAGCGCTTATCGTTCATTCGTCAATGAATCATTCACCGTGTGTATCGTGCGTGTATCATTCATCATTCATCGTGCGTGTATCGTGTGTTCATCATTTATCGTGCATCGTGCGTGTATCGTGCGTTCATCATCCATCATTCATTTTTCGTTAATCCTCCGTGTAAAGCTCATCGCTCATTGTGCGTGTATCGTGTATCGTGCATTCACCGTGCATTCATCGTGCATTCACCGTGCGTGTATCGTGCGTGTGGTCAGTTTGAATTTTAGAAGGTCTGTAAACCATAGTTTTAAGATGTCACAACAATTTAGATTCTTTTTGAAATATCTTTTGGCCCTGAAAAGAGCCTTTTCAGCAAAAGCTGTTTTCTAACTTATCATCGGCTTTAATCTTCTAATTCTGCGTTGGCAAGATTCAATTTCTTTCTATCGACTTCTATCGACATATATCATTGCTTCTCTACAAAATTAAAATCTGCGTACATCGATTCTTGTCAATTGTCAACTTTCGACATCTTTTGTGTCCTCCCTTCATTCTATAAAAGAGAATTTTAGCCTGTAAAAAAATATAATTTTTATTCTAAAGGTAAAATTAATCATATTTTTTATTAGTCCTGATAAAAAAGTATGTTTAGGGTGACATGTTGAAAATGTTAATGTAGGTTCGAAATAAATAAGATTAGATTGCAGCTGACAACTCGACATAAGGTTGCTTACTTATAAAAATGTCAGGGAAGATCGTTAAAATTAGGTAGGGTCGAGTTACCCAAAACCAAGCTTAAATTTTAGGTCAATTAACGTAGCATTTACTTAACTTAGACAATATTTTTATAGTAAAACAAAACCATTCTTAATAATCGTTATTCTGTATATTTCCAGTTCTTTGAATTCCTATTGGCTGATTGATACAGGGCTATCGTCGTCTACAATTTACATCGAGTTTAACTCATTTCATATAGAATCATCCGTTACTTGCGCATATGATTATGTTAAAGTATATGCAGGTAGGCATTGAAACAGAATAGTTTTAACATCATACTAAATTATAAGTTATTGTTACCTATCACAGGTACTTGTGGACCGGATACCCTTTGGGTGCTTCTGAGTGGAAGTACCCCTAATGACCCCCATGTAGTTTAATTTTGATTTTTTTTATTAAACGTTTATTTAAATTGTTTTCACTTGGAATATATGTCGAAGTTACTGACAAATAGCATTTGAGATTTTTGCCGGTCGACTTATATATTCAAAAATCTCAAATGCTGTTTGTCAGTAACTTCGACATATATACTCCAAGTGAAAACAATTTAATTAAACGTTTAATAAAAAATAAATCAAATTAAACTACATGGGGGGTCATTCGGGGTACTCCCACTCAGGGGTATCCAGAGGGTATCCTGTCCACAAGTACCTGTGTTACATATGTGCCTCGCTCTAATTAAACAGGATCAGACAACTGCTGTCTTGTTTTGAATGCAAGACCAACTTTGCTGATTCTGAAATTTTGGAAGAATTCTATATACTGAAACAATTTGGATATCCTAAAATTTGTATCCTGTTTAACATATTTTGTAAATGGTACTATGAGGGAATTTAATAAATTATGTTGAGAAGAAATCACCATGCATATTTTTCTTTAAAACTAGATGGTCATTGCAGTTGGTTCAGTAAGAGTCTGAAGAACTTCATGTTATGAACTTTAAACGTTGTGTTTAGGTTAATGGATTAAGGCTCAAACTTACATTTGAAGTATCAATTTAGAACACGAAACGGTTAATGGAAAATATTTGTTGTTGAGGAAACTCCCTTGGCAAACATAACAAAACAATAATTGGAGTTACCTAAACCACTAGTTTGGAATAATATAACAGGCTTGCCTAAAAAAAGCTATACATCAGTTTAATTTGAATATCTCATAGTCATGACACTAGTCTTTCAGTTGTAGTGTTTGTATTAACAGTACTATTTTCGATATATATGTATATATATATATGAATAAAAGGATGTGGTATGATTGCCAATGAGACGACTCTCCACAAGAGACCAAAAGACTCAGAAATTAACAACTATAAGTCACCGTACAACCTTCAACAATGAGTAAAACCCATACCGCATAATCAGCTTTAAAAGGTCCCGAAATGACAAATGTTAAACAATTCAAACGAGAAAACTAACGGCATAATTTATGTACAAAACAATGAACGAAAAACAAATATAATACACAGCAACAAATGACAACCACTGAATTACAAGTCCCTGACTTGGGACAGGCACATACCGAATGTGGCGGAGTTATACTAGTGTGTTGGCTCCAAACCCTCCCCTAGCCTAGGGCAGTTATGTAACGGCATAACATAAGAAGAACAAACTATGCAAAACAATAAACGAAAAACAAATATGCGAAACAACAAAAAACCAGCCACTTAATTACACGCTCCTGGCTCTTGACAGGCTGAGAGTACAGGCATTTACTGACAACTAGTTCAAACCCAATAACAACTAATAAAAACAAATATGCATCTGAGACTATAGATATAACTAGTGTAACGTCGTTCTAAAAATTAGACTATGAATACTTTTAGACAACCGACTTAATGACTTTCTAAAATTGTAAGTACTGTTCTTTTTGCATGTCGAAAATAAGGCCTTCAGAAATACCTATATATTGCCTCATTTAAAGGAGAATGTAAACTTATTAATTTTTGAAGGTTTTTTGAAAATATGCAAAGCACAATTTTTGTTGATTTGTCGGAATCTTCACATAATTTCTTCATTTTATCCATTACTATTGATATACTTGTTTATCTTTACCTAGGTGCATGTGTGGATGAAGATAATAGAATACAGTTTCTTTGTGGGCAACAGGCAGACATTTCTTTCAGCAGTACACAAGGGAGATATGTGTTAATTCATTTCCGTACAGACCATAGTATAAATCATCAGGGCTGGGAATTAAAATATTCAACGTCAGGTAATAACATATATAGCATGGAAAAGTGAAAATATGGGAAAATATATGATTAGAACAAGTGAGTTCGAGAGGGTCGACATGAGTGTTTCGCCTCTTTTAAATATAAACTAAAACATAAACGGTTATTATTTTAATTAAGAACAAAATTATAATATTTAGATTTACCTGTGTCCGTTATTTTATTTAACACCATTTTGTCCAAGGTTATACCCGGTAGTTGTCTTTTTGACATTGTTTTACATCCTCCACCCTTTTTTATTAATATTGTATTTATATTGTATCATAGTTCAAATTTATTCGTTCATTGTATGTTTATTTGTTTTTGTTTGATTGAATTAAGCAATTTCAATTCCTATTTTATAGTGTGTCTTTCTATGTTGTAATGTTACACTACTATTTCAGGTTAGGGTGAAGGTTGGCGCCTGTTAAAACGTTTAAACACGCTGCATTTGTTTGCACCTGTCCTAAGTCAGGAACCTGTTGTTCAGTGGTTGTCGTTAACTTTGTTGATGTGGTTCATAAGTGTTTCTCGTTTTTCGTTTTTTATATAGATTAGACCGTTGGTTTTCCTGTTTGAATTGTTTTACACTAGTCATTTTGGGGGTCTTTATAGCTTGCTGTTCGGTGTGAGCCAAGGCTGTGTGTTGAATGCCATACTTTGACCTATAATTGTTTACTTTTTACACATTGTGACTTGGATGGAGAGTTGTCTCATTGGCACTCATACCACATCTTCTTATTTTTAATTATTTATGTTAAAATACTTTATTGTTATACAACATATACATATACAATCACTTTATGTGCACAGGCATACACGTACAAATTAGAATGGGTGTTCAACGGCGATCGCTATAAATCTAAACTAGGGTAACGTCATTCTAAAATTAGACTATGAATTTGATGAGTTTGAATGTCCCTCTGGTATCTTTCGATTCTCTTGTAAAGCTTGATAATTTCCTTGATATTGACACCGATAGACGATTTCAAACTAGAATCTATGAAAAACGTGATGGTTTCAGTTTTCTTATAATTCAAATTCCCATTCCACCACAGGTATAATGTCTCAACGTATGGCGTTTACGTATCTCAATTAATACGCTACGTCGTTTAGCCATGTCCTATTCGTCGATATTTGAAATTTAACAATACTCGATGTACAAAGAACACTGAATGAGAGGGAATGATCAGTAATGATATATATACATATCACCGTAAATCAATTACATGCAGCGACACAGTATTAGACCCGGTATTGGTCTTGTTCCGTCTAAACCGGGTATTCCGCTCACCCAAAGAGTTGAACACCCCGATGAATAGTACATGTATATATAGAGTTGCAATTGTTTTTATAACCTTGACATATGACATCATCAGTTAGAACGATTGATGATTTGATCAGATTAATGCATTTTAAAAATAAATAATGTGGTTGAAGGTTTGTTCAATAAGTTTGTCAAGCCTTCGTGATGTCGAGTTTGAATTTAAACATCGGCTTCTTTTTCATACATATATAACTTTGCTCTTCATGGAATTTTACGAAACTTGCTCTCAAGAATAAACTGATTTGTTTTCGTTTTTCTGTATTTAAATAGAAAAGGACTCAATGTTCTTTCGTTGATTGAGTAAATGTTTAGATGCAGACCATTTTTCAAGTTTTTTAAGGAATGACTGTACAAGAGAGGCGAAAGATATTTAAGAGAAATTCAAACTTATAATTTAATTTTAAATTCCGTGCATGAAAAAACGTTGATGACATCATGGTCACATGACAATTCATGTCTATGAGCTGATAGACAAAATACTTTCAGCCAATCAGAAGACGTGTTGCGTCAAAATTAAATTATTAAAAGCTAAATAACCTTTCCCTAACTGCATGTCGTGGATACATTTTGTAGCTCTGAATCCTTGTTATCCTGGTTTTTAATTTTGTAAGGTCCCTCTTGTTTGATCAGCTGTAAAACCTTTGTAATTAGGTTTTGGATATTCAAATATCTTAGCCTCGAGCGTCACTGAAAAGACATTTATTGTGACGTCGAAATGCGCGGCGAATGTAAAAGAAGTAGTAATTTGTATCTTTTATGTTATATCTTCTGAGAGGGAATAACTTTGATGGTGGACTGTAACACCCCAAGGGTCTCGCCAGTATAGAACAAACAGTGAACAAATAATCAAGCGTTTTGTTTCTTTCAGATAGTCAGACGGAAGCGAGTACAGCCGAAAGTAACGATTGGTGGAGAAGTGTTGTTGGTGTTGTAATCGGAATTATTATATTTATCATATTCTTTTGTTTTTGCTGTAATAAGAAAAATCGTACTAAAAATGCTAAATCGTCTCTGATTTCTACACCAGCTACTAGTTTCCAACAACCACCTGTAAGGAAAACCATACTAAACCACGTTGTCATAACGAAACGTCCGCCAAAAACTAGACCCGCCTATGAAATTGACACGCGGAAGCGACAACAGAAGAGAAACCAACATAAAGAAACAGTCAATTTATCTATCTCTTTAAATGTTGTTATAAACCAACCTGCCTTACAGCCTCAAATACAACAAACATATCCACCTCCAAATTATTTTGGGGTTCAACAAAGGGAGGATCCAGTATATCCACCAATACATACTGATCAAACATTCAATCAAAATCAGAATGAAATGTACAATCGACCCCCTTATCACCCTGCAATTGATCCCAATGATGTGCCCTCCCCTTTTACTTATACAGATAGATATTAACCATGCAATCAGATTAAAAATACAGATGCTGTGTTAACGCTCCGCTTTCATAGGTCTGACGACGCTCAGTTCTACCTACTGTTAAAAAGACCTTTCGGGATCCTCTAGTTTTGTCATAATGATACACTATACCATTTAGAAAAGCTTTTAAATATAGCGTGCGAAAATTAAAAAGAAAATTTTTAATTATACGGTACCTCTTCTTCAAAAGAAAAGAGTAATTATACATGTTTCGTCAGTCTGTTTGTCATTCTTTCAGTCCTTGCATAATTCCGCCCGTCATTCCCATAATGTTTCCGTATCATTATTTTGCCACGAGAACTATAAATAATAATTCCCTGAAATTTAGAATCAAGCTTTATGTGAGCATGCTACACCGTGTAAAGCATTGTCACTTTCATGACTCACCAGTTTCCTACTTCTTATTCTATATTCTTACACATAATGATCATTTTTTAAAAGTTTCGTCGCTTCTTTCTAAGGGACTAAAATATTTTTTTTAACTTTGAAATGAAGCTTTATGTTGGCATACTTCACCGTATGATGTGTTTTTGCATCCATCATCCATCAACTTCCTGTTTACCGAAAACTAAAAGCAGGGGTATTAAACGTGAACAGAAGCTCACAGTTCATTTTTTTCGAAAGCTTATGAGAAAAAGAAACAAGGTTGTACTCTCTGAAAAGTGTGATGGTTACTGTATCAACATGGGTGATAAATGTATCAGCCTTATATGAGATGGTATTTTTACACGAAGTCAGTACTTTTTAATTTCTTCAAAAGAGATGAGGTTTACATATCTCAAATAATATGTGACGCTCGTGCATGTTCACATTATACGGACGACTTGAATCAACACTTATGTCTACTCTTTTTTATATTTTTGATTCGAGCGGTACTCATCATGCTCATGAGTCTTTTGTAGCAAATGATTAACATAACTTGAACAGTCAACATCCATGTCTCAACTTACTTGCGACATATTTTCGCACACATGAGTTTGATCTTTGGAAACCCTAAAAGTTGTCCGATCTGTTGAATTGCCAGTTGTGTCCTATTCTCGATTGTGACATTTTGACTGAGTGTCAATTCACGTGGCGGTCAGTTCATGCATAACAAGAAACGCTTATCCTGATTGCGCACCTAGTCCGCCTTCTGTTTGATATTATGTCATTCCCTAGGCTTCATTTTTGGTACCTTGTTTTGTATCTTCTAAATAAACCTTTTTCAATCAATGAAGATATATCTATATATCCGCTTTTCTAGAATAAACCATAAATATAGCATAACATGTTAGACAGATTTCATGACATGATAAACGTGAATCCGAGATCAAGTCCAGTGGAACGCTAGAGCCGCACTATTTCAATTCCAGAAATTTTCAAGTTATATGTTTTTGTTAACCTTTTCCAATAATGTATGTGCAATGTATCTAAAGTGCCATAAGTAAAAGTAAATCACTCGAGACGTAGTCGAAAGTTATTCGTCTGTTAATTGTGGTTATAGTATCAAATTGTGTCGCAATGAACATGAATGAGTATTTACGAAGTTTAAGTTCGTCACTGAATCAGCATTTTATACATTTATTCATTGTTATATTTTTATCTGTATGGTAGATATAGCGTTGTGACATTTATTATTGTATTGTAACTTTAATTTATTGTTTTTTAATAAAAATAATAAAAACATTCAAAAATGTTATTTGGTGAAATAAAATTATTTTCTTACGTAATATATGACCAAAACAAAAGTAACAGTTCAAAACAAACATCTCTCATGACAACTACATTTTGTATTATGAAATGCACAGTTTTATATTGATAATCCCTATCCAATATACCCTCATTTTCCAGTTGCAGTTCAAGCTTCCCCTACCTTCATCCCGGACGACCACTAAACCAGGACCTACTATTGTATTTTTGTCAGTTTATGCTCGTCCTGAAAATGCATGACATATTTTTGCCACCGGACTTTAAGCAACCAATAATCAATCATTTTAATTTAAAGCGTCCCGTTCTGCATAAGATCATATCCGTTTCTTAACATTTTGAATATATTATAGGCGCTCATTGTTGAAGGCCATACTGACCTAAAATAGTTGTTAACTTCTATGTCATTTTATTTCTTGTGTAGAGTTGTCTCATTGGCAATCATGCCATATCTTTTTCTTTTTATATCATATGAAAATTAGAATAAAAGGCATTTTCTTGTTCAAGACAACATCTGAATGAAGACAACAGCAACTTCAGAAAAGTAAGTGACAAAGTTGTTTGTAATGAGATGCTTGTTAATGATTTTGAAATAAATTACAAAAACTTGAGTATATTCTATACAATGTTCCGTATCGATCAATGGTCAATTATCCTCTTTAAAAAATTAAAGAAGTCTTGTGCGTAACTCCTTCTACACAGCTACTGAGCTGATGAACTAACTTAACACTTTATAAGTTCGTTGCTCTTTGAAGGGATGTTCAGAAACGCTTAAATAAAAAAAAAAAGTCAAGGATGCTTGTTGAATATGAGTTGATGAGAGTACCACCAGCCTATAAGCCAGTATTTTGGTACTGGCATAGTTACATGGATATTGTTATATTAAAACTCGCGGTTCTAGTATTTTAGGAAATTATTTCAAATCAAGAAAATGTATCTCTTTAATGCATAGCTCTGGTCTTGATTTGGCCTAAGTTCTTTTTGTCTCTTTTTTTGTCTCCTTTTTTGCTTTATCAGCTCTTCAACGTTCGTATAAGGTTTTGGATTTTAAAATGTATATTGTCCACGAGTATCAAAAGAAGTATAATATTAATTGTCAAAATGAGCAAATGGTGGGTTCAAATGAGTACCGTTACTGTTATTGATGACATGAGGAGCGACATGACCAAAGGGAAGAGAGATTTATAAGATCAACTTTGGCCTGGTTGAGTTGGAACCTCAGATACCTAACAATTTATGAACTGAGATTTGTGAATTATAAATCACACCAGTACCGACACACTGAGCTGATTTTATCTTCGGGGAAAAACAATCCGTAAGCTGTTGTGTTAACCCTGTGATAGAAAACTAAATGACAAGTTATGAATCTGGTGCCCTCGAGGCTCTCTGCAGAATTCATCTTCATCAGGACAGCTCAAACAAAAAACAAAGGAAATCTAAGGAAGTTACTTGAAAACGTGAGTCGCTATACACAGGAAAAATTTTCTCACATGAATTTCACGTGAGATTAACATGAAACTCGCGTGAAAATGTTCATGTAAATTTCACGTGAATAGAGATTCACATAAATTTCACGAGAACTTTACAAAAAAAAATGGTATTTTAATAAAATTTGAACATTTAAATGTTATTTGAATTACTTTATTTTAACAATGCACGTGAAAAAGAAAATCATGTGATATTCACGTGAAATTCACGTTTAAGATCGTTTGAGGTGAAATTCACGTGAAATTGATGTGAGTGAAATTTCCCTGTGTATGACCAAAATGGGCATCAAAAGAGCACTTAAAAATGGGCATAAAAAGAGCACATAAAAATGTGGTATTTTTTTGCAATATAATCACAGTCCAACACTCTGAAGGGAATACAACTGAATTCATTTACTCTAATTTACTGATTTACATGAAACATAATTGAGGATGGTAAAGGGGTATTTTCGTGCAACGTGTTTAGCCATTTTTATTTCACGTGCAGCCGTCAAAAAGGTTCGTTATTCACCGTGTTTCGTGAAATCGGGAAAAAGATCAACGTGCAAGAAATTGTTCGTTCATCGTGAAATGGCAATTTTATTTTGCGTTCTTCCGTGCAGAACCCCCCCCCCCCCACACCTTTACGCCACTCATAATTGCGTAACAGCATATCATTTAATAATTATACAAACAGTTGAAATGAATGTAAGGGTCGTGTAACACATACACGCACACAGAATATTGGTTTCACCATATTTGAAAATACGTATATCGTCATTTTAACCAATTACTATCACATAATGATTAAATTCGTATCTAATTGATTTGATTATACTAAGTATTGAACTTTCCTTTTGAAATCGGTTTGGAATGAACATCTCCCATTCTGTTTATAAAATGCTCTTTCAACTTTAAGTACACCGGGTATTGCTGATAAAAAGACTGGTCACTGTTTAGGAATTATAACAAAACATACCGAACTCCATGGCAAGTTCAAAACGTCCATAGAAACTGACAAAATCAAACGCTACCATCAACAATTTATTAATAAGCAGATACAAATCGGTTTTTATATGAAGTAATTAGAGTAAGCAATTTCCTTATGTTGCCATTTTGGATGTGTAATTGATTGATTTTCTAATTTGACTAACTCACATGAAACATGCAGTACACAGAAGCCTAATAAGAGATTGATTGACTGTTGGTTGCTTAGCGTTCAGCGGCAAATATTGCATGCATGTTCAGGATGAGTTTGATAAGAAATCCGTTCGATTGTAGTGATGAATTGAATCCGGTTAAAATAATTTAGAATTGTTCAAAAATCTTTTCTAGCAGTCAGTATGACAAGTTTAATTTGGCTGATTTATGAAGAAATTTGTGCACGTAAGTATCAGAATGTCAATTTTACCCTCAATCCAGATTTTTGTGAAAAAGTTCAGTATAGAACATTCTCATATAATTTACTTGAGAAAATACGATAGCTTAAGTTTTAAAGTTTCTTGCCACACCCCTTAATAAAACAGTGAATTGTTTTGTGGTCTTTTGTCCTCAAAAGTGCATATACATGTAGAAGTACCAGTTTTGAGACCGAAATTTACATCTACAATTTCGCGTTACTGTTTCAGGTTCGACCAATCAAATCGCTTAAACACTTTGGCCATCCTAGTTACTTAGACATTATGGATAAAATGGGATGTGACAAGAACTTTCAAAACCACCGTGTCAACTTGGCTTGGATCTAAAATCAGTCAACACTTAGTTTATAAAATTTTATTTATTTATGTAATATATAATAATTGATAAAAAATAGTACTTTATTACCATACAGTCTACCACACAAAGAGAAAATATCAAGTGACAAATTCCAAAATAAATAACTACTAAAAAGGTATTTTCTGAAGTAAATTATATGAGAGTTTTCTATAATGAACTTTTTCACAAAAATCTAAATTGAGCAATGCCATAAACATTCATCATTGCGACAAAAGGGGACTAACTGTTGATTAAAGTGTGTCAATCGAAAACTATTTATTCTAGACATGTAGTATTATATGAATTTGATGGTTGTCATAAGAGGGAAATTACTAAGTATGAATCTTTATACCATTGTTGTGAGATTTATCTATGAGGTACCAGTTGCTACCAATATCCAAAGTGCGGTATAAAATAAATGTTCTCCGGAAAGACATACTAATTCTATTTGTCATTTAATTAGGGAGCAACCATTAAACTTCAAAAGGGGGTGGTGGTTATGGTTTTTTGTCAGAGTCAGAATATTTTTTCGTCATCTGCTTGACCACAATATTTTTTTCATCAAATTGGGGATCAGAATATATTTTTATGAAAAGAAACCATAACAACACCCCTCTCCCCTCCCCACCCCCTTGAAGTTAAATAGTCGTTCCCTTATACAAGGATTACTTTTCTTTGCTGAGTTTTTTTTTAATCTTTTCTTTGATTGGCTGGATTTTAAGAGGTATATGTTTTTCTGAACTCTGAAAGTACTCTCTTCAGCAGAATTACAGAATTAGTATGGACGACTGAAATCGATACCTCATAAGTTAGAATTTAATAAAATATGACACGTCTTTATAAATACCAACTGTAATATGAAACACGACGAATAGGGTTAATTATTTATAACACGATAAGGTGGTGTTAACTTTTAAAAAACTTAATTCAATCGTCGACGTCACTTGGACATACTTATAGAAAGAATTTAATAATTATTCAAACTTTATTTAATTATTCTCGATAACCATACAATCAAATGAAATCCCCTGTCTCTTTAAACATGAAATACATTTACAATCAACAATTCCATAATCGTTTATTGATCTAAGTTTTTACCTGTATTGTTAATTGTTCACAGGTGACCAATTGATCCATAAAATACCCATTGATAGCTATGGGTCGCGATGTAAACAATGGTTTCTGTACTTAAAACAATGCAATGATTTCGAAAAATGTGCGATACATTTTGTGTACTTTAAATGGAAAGACAATGTAAATACACTTTACATAATTTGGTAAGTACTTTTTCTTTGTATACGTGATGTACATGTATCTATTCTTCTTTATGTGTGTGTATTGAATAAGAAAAAAAAGGTTGATTGAGGCGTAGTGTCCAGTGACCAGTATCAAAGGTACATGTTTAGTTTGAGTAAACCGTAACAAGGTTCAATGAAAGTCCTTTAAAAGAAAAGTATGTGTTTAATTCAGAGATTAATTAGTGTAAAGGGGAACAATACTAGGTACAATTGTTTTCAATTAATCCAAAGCTATAATTCATAATTATATGGTTAGCAGATTGGAAATTTGTTAGGACAAGTCTGGTAGATGGAAACGTTATACCCCCTTTTTGTCATATATATCGTTATTCTCACAAACCAAACTACAAAGGTATAGAGATAATTATACATATTTCAATACAGTCAATTACATAAATAAATAATGTACGAAAGTAGATAGAGGCATTTACAATTGTTCACCCAGAAATTGATGTCCGATTTATTGAATAAAA